ATGCAGTATTCCACTTGCTAAACACCACTCCACTCATGCCTAGCATCTATGCAATGTTCCACTTGCTAAACACTACTCCACTCATGCCTAAATTCTATGCAGTGTTCCACTTACTAAAAACCACTCCACTCATGCCTAGAATCTATGAAGTGTTCCACTTGCTAAACACCACTCTACTAATGCCTAGAATTTATGCAGTGTTCCATTTGCTAAACACCATTCCACTCATGCCTAGAATCTATGCAGTGTTCCACTTGCTAAACACCACTCCACTAATGCCTAGAATCTATGCAGTGTTCCACTTGCTAAACACCACTCCACTCATGCCTAGAATCTATGCAGTGTTCCACTTGCTAACCACCACTCCACTAATGCCTAGAATCTATGCAGTGTTCCACTTGCTAAACACCATTCCACTAATGCCTAGAATCTATGCAGTGTTCCACTTGCTAAACACCATTCCACTAATGCCTAAAATCTATGCAGTGTTCCACTTGCTAAACACCACTCCACTAATGCCTAGAATCTATGCAGTGTTCCACTTGCTAAACACCACTCCACTCATGCCTAGAATTTATGCAGTGTTCCACTTGCTAACCACCACTCCACTAATGCCTAGAATCTATGCAGTGTTCCACTTGCTAACCACCACTCCACTAATGCCTAGAATCTATGCAGTGTTCCACTTGCTAAACACCATTCCACTAATGCCTAAAATCTATGCAGTGTTCCACTTGCTAAACATCACTGCACTTGCTAAACACCACTCCACTTGCTAAACACCACTCCACTAATGCCTAGAATCTATGCAGTGTTCCACTTGCTAAACACCACTCCACTAATGCCTAGAATCTATGCAGTGTTCCACTTGCTAAACACCATTCCACTAATGCCTAAAATCCATGCAGTGTTCCACTCGCTAAACATCACTGCACTTGCTAAACACCACTCGACTTGCTAAACACCACTCCACTAATGCCTAGAATCTATGCAGTGTTCCACTTGCTAAACACCACTCCACTAATGCCTAGAATCTATGCAGTGTTCCACTTGCTAAACACCACTCCACTAATGCCTAGAATCTATGCAGTGTTCCACTTGCTAAACACCACTCCACTAATGCCTAGAATCTATGCAATGTTCCACTTGCTAAACACCACTCCACTTGCTAAACACCACTCCACTTGCTAAACACCACTCCACTAATGCCTAGAATCTATGCAGTGTTCCACTTGTTAAAAACCACTCCACTAATGCCTAGAATCTATGCAATGTTCCACTTGCTAAAAACCACTTCACTCATGCCTAGAATCTATGCAGTGTTCCACTTGCTAAACACCACTCCACTAATGCCTAGAATCTATGCAGTGTTCCACTTGCTAAACACCACTCCACTAATGCCTAGAATCTATGCAGTGTTCCACTTGCTAAACACCACTCCACTAATGTCTAGAATCTATGCAATGTTCCACTTGCTAAACACCACTCCACTAATGCCTAGAATCTATGCAATGTTCCACTTGCTAAAAACCACTTCACTAATGCCTAGAATCTATGCAATGTTCCACTTGCTCAAAACCACTTCACTCATGCCTAGAATCTATGCAGTGTTCCACTTGCTAAAAACCACTTCACTAATGCCTAGAATTTATGCAGTGTTCCACTTGCTAAACACCACTCCACTAATGCCTAAAATCTATGCAGTGTTCCACTTGCTAAACATCACTGCACTTGCTAAACACCACTCCACTAATGCCTAGAATCTGTGCAGTATGCCTAGAATTATGCAGCGATTTACTCACTACATTGTATAAGCTACACCATTATTTACCATTCTATTTCCTCTATTATAAGTAGATAGTATTATAGAAATTATCAAGTTTCCATTATGCATACCAATACATTCAAATGCTGTCCCATAAAGTATATGTTAAACAACATTCCTGAGTCACACCTACCTTGGTCACCAAACATTCTGGCCAGCATACTGTCAGGATCTCGACATGTAAGTGTGTTTCTACAAACAAATCAAGCCATTATAAACATGGTATACCATGCCTTAGTGTAAATATCACTTCACTTGCTAGAAAGGCGCATTTCAAGCAAAGTTCAGTCAGAGAAAATACAAAACTTTGTAGCAGTGAACATTTTATGGGGACTTTAAGACTTGTGACTTTTGTAGAAATAACCATGTCACTGGGTCTCTTAAAGCAGTATTATCTGTTAAACTTATTTGAAGTTTTTAACATGTATAGTACATGCCACCTAACAGTCCAAATAACTCCACTGTTTTTGTAGAGTGAAGCATATTTTACTATAAATGACAAAAAATATTTACTGTAAATATAGAATTGAAGATATTGACGTGAAGATATTGACGTGAAATGAACAAATCTGATCGAGTACCAAGTACCAAGGCAATTGAGCTGTCATCTACAATGACAGTGTTGCAAAAAATGAGCCATAAATTTACAATTATTCATGTCAGAACCAGACTGATATTTTTTTAACTGAATACCTAAAATCCCGACATACGTTATTTCAAATCCTGCTATTGAACACACTCAAAACAACTAGCCTAGGGAGTACAAAATACATCTCCTGACTTGCTTCTTATTAATTAAGGCTGCATTAGAGAGACAGATTTTGGTTGAGATTTGATGGAATTGTTGATGTCCTCAGCTGCTGAAAGTTTGATCACAAATGCTCTGTGACCCTCTATCAAAAGAAATATCTGGCGTAGATATCCTGCAAATTTCATAACTATTGAATTTAGTACACACCACACACATCAAATGCTACAAACAAAATATATCAGATAATACAGCTCTAAGATACACTACGTTACTTTTGTAGCAGTTAACATTTAACTAGGGGCCCTTATGACCAGTACTTTTGTAGCAGTTAACATTTAACTAGGGGCCCTTATGACCAGTACTTTTGTAGCAGTTAACATTTAACTAGGGGCCCTTATGACCAGTACTTTTGTAGCAGTTAACATTTAACTAGGGGCCCTTATGACCAGTACTTTTGTAGCAGTTAACATTTAACTAGGGGCCCTTATGACCAGTACTTTTGTAGCAGTTAACATTTAACTAGGGGCCCTTATGACCAGTACTTTTGTAGCAGTTAACATTTAACTAGGGGCCCTTATGACCAGTACTTTTGTAGCAGTTAACATTTAACTAGGGGCCCTTATGACCAGTACTTTTGTAGCAGTTAACATTTAACTA